TAGCACCTGTGAGATCTTACCCTCCTGCTGCAGACCAAGGGTTTGCAGTGTGCTGGGGCTGGTGGTGCATTCACATGGGTCTGTCTCATCCCCTGCAGAGTGAGTGGTACCCTTGGTGTGCTGCAGCGTTTGTCTGCAAGGGAATTAATCAGCTCTGCCCTTTAAATGTTCCTGCACAGCAGCTGTGGGAATAAATGGTTCCTGTCCTGCTTATCTCCAGGAAAAACTGCCCCTATTGACCAGCCCAGCCAGAGCTGCCTTTGCTTGTTAGATCTCAGAGAACCCAAGCCCCCACCCCACTGTGCTGGCTCCCAGCAGCAGTGCTGCTCCCCAGAGGGGGACACTGCTGCCTGTGGGGACAGCCAGGGCTGTGCTGCGGGGCCCAGAGCGCTGTGCCATGAGTGACATCCCAACCAGGGTGTGCAAGAGTGGGGCTCAGCATCACTGCTGAGTCCAGGACCCCTGAGGGGCAGGCAGGAAAAGGCTGGGAGGAGGAATTCAGAGCCCAGGGCTGGCTGGGCAGAAGAGCTGGAGGCCCTACGACTGTTGCATGCTGACGGCCTTGGTTTGTCTGCCCTATCCAGGAGTGAAATGAAACGCTGGATGATTTCACTGGCCCCAAACCGGAGAACCAAGTTTGTTTCATTTACATCCAGACTTGTTGGTAAGAGACACGGCACGGGAGCCAGGAGCTCTTCGCCCCCACCCCAGGGTGCCTTACTCTGCCTGATCTCAGTCCAGTAACATACCTGAGGCCTCTGCCAAAGTTGAACCCTCTCCCTGGGCTCCCCTTGTGTTTCCACCATCAATACCTGCTTGTCTCTAGGCCTGGCCCTGACCTTTTCCCCCTCCAACCCAGGCTGGGCTGCACCAGCACTCTCCCTCCCACCCAGGCTGCTCATGACTGGCACTGTGGTGGTGATGTGCACCCAGCTCCCTTCCCACAGAGCTGCTCCACTGGTCCCTGTTGCTGGGGCACCCTCTGGCCTCCCCAGGGTTCCTTACCAGGTCAGAGGGACCATGCACAGAGCTGGCGGTGCTGCACCCCCCGAGCTGTGCTGTCCTGCCCTGGGCTTCACCCCAGTCATCCCTCACTGTGCCCTGTTCCCTGGCAGACTGCCCACAGATCCAGTGTGTCCACCCGTACGTGGCCCAGCAGCCCGATGAGCTGTCCCTGGAACTGGCTGATGTCCTCAACATCCTGGACAAGACAGACGATGGTACGGGGGACAGGGTGGGGATGAGCTGGGAGTCCCTGTGGAGGGCTGGGCTTTGCTCTGGGCAGGCAGCTGTGAGTCTCTCCCTTCAGCCAGAGAGAGACCTTGGCATTGGCATCACAGCTGAGGGAGGTCACAGCAGGAGAAGGGAGTTATTGCCTTCTCCTAACACTCAGACAATCTAGGCTTGCCCTAAGCTGTGGCAATACTGGCGCAGCCACCCTGGTACCAGCTGTGGGCCATGGTAGGGCTGGCACAGCCACCCCAGATGTATCCCAGAGCTGTTCTTACCTTCATGATGCTTCACAGCCACCCAGTCCTGCTCTCTGGAACACCCTGGTGGTCTGTCACGTTGGGTCTCTGCTGGGAACCACTCCTGTGGCTTCAGGGGCAGCAGAGGGCACTCAGTGGCAGCAGTGCCTGCTTTCTGCTGGCATCCCTCAAGCCAGTTGTCCACACACAGTGCTGCTCAGGCACATCCCTGCTGGATGGACAGACTGAGTCTGCTCCAGCACAGGCCTCTGAGCAACTTCCAGAAAGCTCTGTCAGCTCCGCAGGCTCTTTGCAGCACAACTCTCCCAGTGCAGGAACAAAGGCCTTCCGTGCTTATACCTGTCTCTGTCTCTGCTCAGGCTGGATATTTGGGGAGCGTCTTCACGACCAGGAGAGGGGCTGGTTCCCCAGTTCTATTGGGGAAGAGATCCTGAACCCCAAAATCCGAGCCCAGAACCTGAAGGAGTGTTTCCGGGTGCACAAGTCAGATGACAGTCAGAGAAGGAAACTGGGCAGCAGAAATCGCCAGTGACTGGCAGCATTCCCGAGCATCTGGAGTGCCTCCGGGAGAGGGGCAGGAGACAGAGGCTGCCAGCTGGGAAGAGGTGGCAGCTGTGGGACATGGTGGAGGACCTGCTGCACCGGACAAGGCACTAACACCCGTGAACAACCTGACTGTCGTTCCTGGCCCCCCCCAGCACTGATCCTTTCCTAGAGATCAGTGCTCTAAACTGTAAAATAACCCTTTTCCAGGTGTTCTGTAAAGTCCCAAAGAGCATGAGCCCCATGGACACTGCCTGAAGGCCGGCTGAGCCCCATTTGTTGCACATGTGCTGGCTGGGGCTGGCTCAGACCATTTGGGAAAGGCACATGGCCACCAACATCACTGAGCAATTAACACCACCCAGTGTGAGCACTCATAGCTCATTGCTCCCTTCCGAGTCTGGGGTGCTCTGGACACAGCCTCCCTCAGGGGTAGGAACTGCAGCCAAGGAGCTGTCTCGCTGCCTCTCAGAGCCCGTTGGCAACAAGCTGGGACAAGCTCCAGGACCTCCACTTCCCCTCCTACTGAGAAGCTGCTGGGCCTATTCCTACAGGCAGACCCTCAATCTGCTTCCACACCCAGCCCTGCTCCATCAGCAGCCCAGCCTCGCCAGCCCCAACCTCCATCTCTCCCTGCCCGATGGCCTGGAAGCACGCCTGGGCCCTGCCCGAGGCTCATTGCCCAGCCCACCTCCCTCTGCAGGGTCACCGCAGAAGCCCCCCCACCGTGGCCTTTCCCAGTGACCTGGCACTCGTGGTCTTTGCTGCTCCCTGCAAGGCCAGCGCAGGGTGGCCATGCCAGCGCCTCCCTGCACAGCACCACAGCCCAGGGGAGCACAGCATGCTGGGCTGCCCCGCAGCAGGGACTGCCCTGACCTGGGAGCTGCTGGCCCACGAGCTGTGGGAGGCCCAGCCATCGCTGCCTGCATGCTTGTAACCCCCAGCCCCACTGTACAGGCTGCCCTCCATGTACACACCCAAACCCTGCCCCAGCACAGCCATCCCTCCTGCCAGCTGTGGCACTGAGCACCGCATGAAGCCCAGGGCACAGCACTGAGAGGAGCTGGGGCACAGGACAGACCCACAGCCCCTGCCTGCTGTTCAGCTCCCACACACGGCTGCAGTCGAGGGCCTTCGAGCTGCAGGCTGGTCCTGAGCTGTGGCCAGCATCCACCAGGAAAATCAAGTATTTGGGACTGTTCTGGAACTCTGCAAAGGACTGTCTTCCAGGCACTGCGGCCTGTGCTGGTGGATGCTCTGGCGGTGCCACAGTTGTGCTTGGGGAGGGGATGGAGAGCAGCTGCCTGCCCATGGAACCACACACCAGCCACCTGCACGGAGGGGAGAGGCACCACCGTGCCAGCAGCAGCGTGAGGAGGAAACAGGACGCTGGGAAGCTGCTGAAGGGAGGATCCTGAGCTGGTCTTTGAACCATATGGGGCCCAGATTACACATGGGGTGTGCAGCACGAGGCCAGACACAGGTGAGGGGGGGCCAGGGCTGTCCTTGGGGCTGCCTCTACTGTCACCACAGCCCTGGTACAGCCAGCTCAGAGCCAGTCCCAGGACCGAAGTGGTGGGAGCCACAGCAGTGAAGAGGGAGAGAAGGCATTGGCTGCTCAGGTCCAGCTCAGTGCCACCACCTTAGCATGTGACCACAGCCAGCAGGGTTGTGCTGCCCCAGCCACCTGTGGCACCCCTGGCAAAGGGCCCCTGGGCAGCTCACACCAGCCAGAGGCTCCAGGTCACCATCCAGTGCCCAGCCCAGAGCTGGGGCCAGGAAGGACCTGCAGCCTCTAGTCTGGAACAGGGGGCTGATTTAATGGAGACACCCCAAGCCAGGCTTCCCATCAGCACCCCACAGTCAGCTTTCTGAGACAACCAAACCTCTGGCTCAGGGTCTAGACCTTGCAGCAGCCACAAATTTACTAGTGCAAACCCCCAGGGACTTCCAGATCGAGGAATCTGTTAAAATTACCTGAGAAGTCACCACAGTGCAGATCCTCCAGCTTTGCAGCCCAGCAGCCAGGCCAGCCTAGGCACTGCAGTCCAACATGCCCACCTGGGGTGTTTCTCACAGGACACAGAAGCTGGATTACCCATCGATGAGAAGCAGCTGTTTCACTAGTTCCCCAGTGCCAGGACAGCAGGTCCTCACTGGATTTCTCCAGGGAGTGGGGCTGCTGTGCCCTGTCCCACCGCCAAGCCCTGGAACTGCTCCAGCCCCTCCTGCTCTGTTGTGACTCCAGGACTCCAGCCCCCGGCCACAGGCTGTGCCGTTTTCAGGCACCAAGTGGCATCCAGTGTTACTTCCTCAGCCCCAGCCCTGCACGCCCCCGTTTCAGTGGTCTCCAGTGTTGTCCAGGGCCGGGCCTGCGGCCCACAAGCAGGGGCTGGAGCCCCCTGGCCCCTGCCAGGCTGCCTCAGCCAACTGAGGGGAACTTCTTGTTGTCTCGTTTTACCGTGTGATGAAATGTAGCTGAGCAAGCCAGCGCCAAAACAGCCTCTGTGTGTCTCCTTCCTCCCCTGCACTGATCACTCGCCTCCTCTCAAGTCTCCTCCAGTGCAATAGGTAGGGAGCAACTGGCCCAAATGCAGTGGGTGGAAGTGGGGTTGAACACATGAATGTGCAGTGGTTCATGCCAATAAACAACTCTTCCCGAGGAAAGCTGTGCTGAGGGATGCCCCACAGTGTTACCATCACCCAGGCTAGACCCAGCAGGGCCCCTCTGAGCTCCGAGCTCAAAGCCACACACTGCCACAAGTCCTTTGTGACCAGGGGGGTGACAGGGCCTGGGGTGGTGAAGCCTGCCAGGTCTGGGTGCACCCAGGAGATACGCACACTAAGAGCAAAGAGCACTCAGTTGCAACCTGGTTGCTCAGCAGAGGGCCTGGTGTGCAGCATTTTTCCAGGGCCCCAGGCACAGGGGGCAGGAGCAGGCAAGAGCTGGAGGCAGACTGGTTGTGTAACAGAAAAATCTTTTATTGAGTTCAGGAGGCCGAGAACTTTCTCAGCGTGATGATGACCAACGCCACCAGCACAGACGTCCCCAGGAGGGAAGCGATGACGATGGCACCGATAGCTCCGGGCCCCAGTGAGCCTACAGGGACAGAAAACGAGGTGCGAGGTCAGCAGAGCCAGGGGGCCCCAGATGGGAAGGGCTGCAGGGATCACCCCACACCCAGCATGTCCCCAGCCATCGGGTCACGCTCCTGCCCTGGAGCTCATGCACTGGCCATGGTGGATGTCCCACGTCCCCAGACAGCCGAGGTGTGGTCCTGTGCCCCAGCAGCATTGCACCTTTGGGCAGGGGCTGTAGCCAGCCACTGCCACCTCAGCCAGGTCCCAGGGACAGCTACCACAAAGCAGGTCTGTGGCACTGAGCTTTCCTCTTAACACCCATACTTAGAGTTCCTTTGCCTGTGGCAAAACTGCATCAAAGAGGCTTTTGCTGTCAGGAGCCAAGAAAGGTGCTCACTCCCTGTTTAGGGAGCTCCAGGCACATTCTGCTCTGGAGAGCCCTGCCTGTGCTCGGACCACTTTCTGCAGGTGCCTGCCATGACAGGTCAGATGGGGGGCAAGAGGAAAGGTCTTGGAGCAGCTCTGGGGCTGACCAGTGCTCCACAGTGGAGGCTTTTCAGTGGGGAAGTTCCCCTGAGCAGGAGGTACAGGCAGCCCTTCCCCTCCCTACCAGTGTGGCTGGGGACAGGCCACCTCTGGTGGCTTCAGCACCTCCTGGGAGGTGACAGGCCCCCAGAGAGCCAATCCACAGTGACACCCCAGCCCCTGTAGGGGTGAGCCACAGGTAGCCCACGGTGCAGCCACGTACCGTCCCCGGTGTCCAGTCGGTGCAGGTGGGTGGTGTCCTCGGGCTCCAGCTCAGAGGTGTACGGGGGGAAGGCGGTGGCGTCCGACAGCCGCGCTGTGGTGGTGGCAGCGTCGAAGGACCGGCTCCGGAGGGCAGCTCGGGCGGCTCATTCCACAGGGTGGGGACTGGGCCCTGGGGGTACTCTGCTGGGAGACAAGCACCCATGGGCATGGGGGCCAAGGCAGGCTGCTGGTGACAACCACAGCTCAGCAGGTCCCTGGGCTCCAGCTGCCTGCCAGGTGCCCCTGGGGTGGGTGCCGGGGTGACCTGAGCACTGAGAAACCCGGTGGGGCACAGCCCTCCCCGCAGAGGGCACCACCTCCACTCAACACCCACACCCAGAGCAGCCCCAGGGTGATGCCACTGCCACAGGCTTTTGGGGCACTCTGGTGTACACACAGCACACACGGGACAACAGGGAGCTCCCCGGATTGTGCAACCTCTGCTCACACACAAACAGGCCCTGTGAACACCCACAGCTCTTTTGCTCGTGGATACCCGTAGGACTGGGCTGTCACATGTCTGCAACAGGCAGAGGCCACCTGGCTACCTGTGCTGGCCAAATTCCCAGCATTTCAGGGCCTTTCTGTCCTGCACTCCCAGCCAGAGGTGCTGGCACAGTGTAGGACACGGCTCCCCCAGACAGGACCCCAGAGCCTCAACTTCCCTCTCCCGCACCTCCCCTGTGCCAGGGAGATGAAAGCTGGGCCAGGCTCTGATGTTACCAATGGTCTCCTGTTATTCCTTCCTCCCGTGGGTCAGGGCCCAAGGCAGAGAGCCCTCCCTGTCTGTGTGTGGCTCAGCCCAGCACTCCCTGTCAATGCCCAGCTTGTTCGGATGGGCCCTGGCGGGAGCAGGAGACATTCCACAGCTCCCTGCTGAAACCGCTGGGAATGTTGCACTGGGATGGGGAAAAAAAAGCTGTGTGTGGGGGAAACAAACATCCAGAGCCAGGGCCCACCTGAACTGACACAACGGTTATCACAACCAGGACAGGGAGTCAGAGGAGCTGGAGGAAACAACCCAGGCTCCCTGGGGCACGGTACCCTGGCTCTGGCATGTCAACCCTTGCTGTCCCAGGCTCTCCATATGGCCTGGGAAGAGAGATGGCAGCAGCACATCCTGGCAATGCCACTTCAGGTCTCAGTACCTCGAGCCCTCCTCGCCTCCCCCAGAGCAGGAAGAATTGTCATTAATAGGCTCCACCACACACTGTTCTCCCGTAGGAGCCCTGCATCCAAAGGAACAGGAGCACCAAAACACTCCCCTTTTCTGCCTGGACAAACCAACTGAGAAATTACTGCAGGGCTTGCCTCAGAGAGTAGCTCCCACCATCCCCAGAGCTATTCCAGGCTGCCCACAGTCTTGGGGGCAAAACAATGTTCTAAACTAGTTGTAAAAGCCCTTTCTACAGCCATAAAAGCTACAGGATGTTCAGTGAGGCAGCTACCAGGTTTAACTCTGGCCCACTGAGCACAGAGAGAGACAAGTCCCCAGCATGTGGGCTGTGCCAGCTGGGCCAGGCAGGGTCCCCAGCACACCCAGGCTGGCTGTCCCGCCGGGGAGGAGCGCGCGTAGCATCGATACCGTGTCCTCACACACCCGGTACATCCGTGCTCACTGCACCAAAGGGGTGAGCTCAGCTCCCCCAGACAAGCACACAGAGCTTTGTGTTCCACCAGGGCTCCCCAGAAACACCTGAGCCCTTTGCAGGGCCCTTCCCAACCTGTGCTGCCAAACCAACCAGCAGAGCTGAAGACTCACATCCCATCCAGAGGCTCTTCCAGAAAGTGTCATTTCCAGTGGAGCTCTCTTCTATAAATCCTGTGGTTCACTACCAGAGGACAGAGCAGGAGGAAATACAGAATTCAGTGAGTAAAGGTAGTTAAAACAACAGGGAGAGGAACTGAGCAGAGCTGGGCTAATTAGTTGGCAACAGTGGCATGGAGAAGCTGTTGGTTTAGGAACAGGCCAAACGTAAGGAACAGTTTTGGAGCCCTTGTTCCAGGCTGCTTTTGCAAGGGGAGAAACCCCACACAGAAGAGCCACACTCCAGCTATGACCTTGCTGACTGTGACAACAACCCTGGGGCCAGCACCAGCATTGCCACTGTCCCCAGCTGAAAGAGGAACACTGTGCTGGGAGGATGGCATTGCTGCCTTTCCCAAGAATGTTTTTTCTCTCCAGAGCTGGGCATGTCCCTCACATCTGCCCAGGGACAGGTGTGAGCTCTGATGATCTGTAACAGATGCAGCACCACCCAGGGAGCCTGTAGGATCTGGACAGGGTCTTCCCAACTCTCAAAGGGGTAAGGAGGGAGCAGTACCCCTTCCAGCCAGAGTGCAAAGGTTCTTTATCTAACCAGACCCACAGGTCCCAGAAAGTCTCTCCTGTCCCCTCTTAGAATGCATCTAATTCCTGAAAAATCTACTGCAGCTCTCTTTAAGCAGGGCACAGAGCTTATTTTTGATAGCCAAGTACAGAGGAAATAGGGTTTTTTTTGTTTATGATCTCTGTGATTTTTTCAAGACATGGATGCTACTGGGTCTGTATTTGGTTAACTCCCCTCATCTGATGCTTTCAGTTCGCCCCCACAGAAGGGGCAGAGTGTGCCAACCACACGTTTTCTGTCCGAGTTCTTGTGGTTTCACCTTAACGGCGCTTCAGCCGAGGGAAACACAACCCCTTTCAGTTGGCTCTGGTGCCTCACAAACAGGCTCAGAGGCAGCAGCAGAGTCATGCACAGGCACGAAGTCAAACACCAACAAGTGAATGTCACAGGAGCCAGAGCTGGTCCCCTTCTCATTCCTTCCCCTCACTGCTGCTGGAGTGAGGTGTAGAGCCCTGCCACCGGCACAGCAGGTGGGGGAACACAAAGCCCACCCCTAGAGAACACTGCCAGCAGGCAGGTCCCTCCAGAGCTGACTGCTGCAGCCTGGCAGAGCACCTGCTCGTGGCCAGCACTTTTTCCATGGCTCATCTTTGATCTTCCCTCCTAAACCAACAGCTCATGTCCTCATGTGCCTCCACTCCTGCGTGGCTGAGAAGTCCAAGCACCCATCCACCCACCCTCACGCATCCAGCAGGTTTCTTTACCAAGCAGAGGTGTCACATCTTCTCCCCAACAGTCCCAGTGAGTGTCAGCCCCGCTGCCACTGGCTGGGAGTGGCAGATCTCTAACAGAGCAGCAGTAAATACCACACTCCCTCTCCAGTCCTCTGGGAAAAGCAAGAAAAGCAAGGGGGAAGGACAGAGCTTGTGTCAGGTGCCAGAACCCAACACGCACATTTAATAAGATCTCACGTGTCTCCAAGTGAGATATGAGGGCCTCTTCTGGTCACCTGCTGGATGGAGGCTGGGCAGGTTCTGTGTACAGGTGAGGACCCAAGTGAGGAAGTTCAGTTCTCTGCCTGCTGCCCATGTTCTGGGGGACCACAAGTCCCTCTCCCCCTCCTGGGCTCAGTTTCTCTGTGCACAAGCAGGAGACCAGGACTCTAAACACCATCTACAGGGAAAGCAGCACCAGTGCAGCCAGGCCTGAGCACCCACACAGTTACTGTCACCCTGAGGGTGACCAGGGGAACATGTCTGTGACTGAGCAAACACCTCTGGGACAGCTCCAACCCAGCAGAAGCCCTTCACAGGGAAAGAGGAATTTACAGGGCAGCTCCACAGCCCTGGAGGCAGGGAACAGCATTTCTCACGTGTGAAAACACCCAAACACGTTGCCACCTCCAGTGAGGGGGTGCAGCCAAGAGTTGGAAACCAGATATGGAAGGCAAGGTAGCACATGGCTTTCCTGCACACCCAAGAACTTTATTTCTACAAAGAACTAGCAAGAAACATGCTCAAAATACATCCTCCAACACAAGACCAGATGTTTAACATCTGGGTGAGAGCCATGCATTAGCTGTGCTGTCATCAGCCTTGGGACCAGTCCTGTCTCTAGAAAAACCCACCTGGCACACTCACACGGTTGGTTTGCCCCACAGGGACTCAGCAGGGGCAGCAGGTGGGCACATGGAGGGGCTCCCAGGCTGCTGCCACACGCAGGTAACCCCACTGCTGCCACAGCTCCCTGTGGGTGCTCTGAGGAGGGAAACCTCGAGTGCAGACACAGAGTCACTCCCCAGCATTAGCCCTGTCTCGGCACTGGAGCACGGGCTGAGGGCAACTTCTTCTCCACAGACTAACAGTGAAATCCTCTTTGTGACACACACAGTTGGAGAACACTTAAGAGAAAAACATACAATAATGTCTCTGGGGGTTTACTGGGCAGAGGAGGAACTGGACAAAATGGACTAAGAGTAATACTGGAATACTGATACTGTACTAAAACTATACTAAAAGTATTCCAGTATGCCAGGTGGATGATGGCAGTTCTACCTTCCCACACACTGACACTACAAATTGTCTTATTTTAGAGAAATCTCTCTGCTGCACTATGTCCTCTCCCTCTCTCCAGCACAGGTTAGTTACAACTGAGACCAGGAAAAGGGAAGAAAATCTCAGAGTTTCTGTAAAGAAATCCACCATAAGTTTTCTGAGGATGCAGGAACTCAGAGGGACTCCAGGCACGTGGGCTGTAGAGACATCCAGAGAGTATGACACCAAGGGCAACCTGACAAAACTGCTGTTTCCATGTTCAGAGAGAAGAAGGTGAGGTGAGCTGCCAGCACAGTGACATGGTGGCCAGTGCCCCAGGTACTCAGTGACAAAGGTAAAACTGGAAGAGTCTCCACAAGTGACAGGTCTTGAGGAAGCCAACCAAATGTGATGGAGCCAGACCCTCCCAGACAGGCAGACTGCAAGACCTCAGGGCTGGCAGATGTGGCCACTTCACATCTTCATCCCCAGGATCGCTCCCCAGTGACCAATACTCTTCCTCACACAAGCTGGTTTCAGCACCTTGTCATCCTCACTCCCCACTTCCAACCTTAGCCAGGAGTCAGTAGCAGTGTCAGTAATTTATAAGGAGCGTTGGTTCAGAGCCAGGCTGAGTAATGGCCAAAGTCCTGCTGTAAGACTGAACCACATCTTCTCCAGAAACTTCCCTGACAAAACCTATTTGCTGCTTTTCATGTTCTAGTACTTGAGCTTTAAAAACTTCCTAATGATCTTTTAGTCTCCTATAGTTGAGAATGAGGACACACAAGTTGCTACAGAGATGTCCCTGGTCAAGGTGGTGTCCTGTATATTTTCCTTCTGCCCTGCTGCTTTTCCCCTCAAACTCCTTCTGATGTGCCACCACAGTACAACACAATTCCACACTAGCTCAAACCAAAGAAACTCAGGAGCCCTTAGGTGAATTCAAATAGCAAATATGTACACGATTCAGAAGCCCACACCTTGCAAAGGCTTTTTACTCACTTCCACTTCACTTGGAGCTCTTAATCTATCCTAGGAATTGACCCTGGGTTTGCTGATGGAGTGGCTGGCACAGCTGCAGCCTGTCCAGGGCAGCCCCTGCCCCGGGGAGGGCTCTGCTGTGCACTCAGAGGTGCTGGGATGGGAGGGCAGGGCTGGTGAACTCTGAGGACAGCACCGGGCTGTCCAGCCCCAGGTGGCCATGGTGGCACAGGGCCAGGGCAGGATGAAAAGAGGCCTTCACCGGGAGCACAAAGGGCATCTGTGCCTGCTGAGTGCCACAGCACGGAGCGCTGCGGTCCTGAGGAACGGGGAGCAAACTTGTTTACAGAGAGGCAGGGCCACGTGTGGATGTGCTCAGAGCAGAGGGCTTTCTGTGCCCTTCCCCTCTTTGTCTGCACCAGGCAGGAAATTTCCTTTTCTAATGGAGTAAAAGGCAGAAAAAATTCCACTCTGTGCTGGGGCAGGAACTCTCGATGCCCAATGCAGCAGAGAGTCACTCTGCTCCTGGGATGGCTTCCCAAACACGCTGGTTCCCTCATGTCCTCTTTGAGGGAGCAGGGAACAATTTGATAGAGGCCTTAAGCAGAGAAAGCATGAAGTCTGTCCTGCACACCAGGATCTGAACGTTGCATTCACCAGCACAAAGCCCTTGGAGAGCACTGGCCTTGCTGCACTAGCACAGCTCAGCCAGTAAAGGAATCAGTAAACCTGGGAGTATCTCACAGGAGCAGAGTGACACAGGGAGGCAGTGACAGGGCAATGCCAGAGCAGGCCCACAGGAAAGCTGGCAAGGAGGGAGGCAGAGCAAATATGCACCAAATACTGGAAATTTAAACACCATAGAAGAAATCCCAGCTCGGAGAGGAAACAGATGGAATTCTCACTGGAAATGAATCACTTCCTGCAGAGTGAAATACTGTTAATGATGAAGAAAGATCTTACCTGGTGCAGGGCAAGAGCATGGTCACTGCTCCTGGGAGCAAGAGCAAGGCACAAATTGAAACTGTGCTAAAGTGATTAATGTTCCACTGTACAAAAAAGGCTGAGGGTTTGAGAAGGAAAGTATGCACCTTTTAGTGCTCATTTCTTATTTACTTTAAAAGTTTCCCAGCAGGAAGGTGTCCTCCACAGGGAGGATACCAGCTGCAGGAATTCTGTTCCTGTACCCACAGCTGTTCCAGCCAGGCACAGCATTGAATTCTCCTACCCCTATGAAAGCCCCTTTAGAAAGAAGTGATTTCATAATTTCATCTGCTAAACAGCTGGCCAGGATCTCCCTGCTAGGCAAGATGCTTGGAACAAACAGGGAGGGAACTGCAAACCAGCCTTGCTCCAGGTCTAGGGAGGTAGGACAGGAATTCAGGAAAACAAATGCTGTGCTCCTGCCTGTTATCCTGGCCCCAGCCATCCCTTCAGCCTCACTTCCACTGAAGGAAAGGCTTTGAGGGGAGCAGTTCCCCACAGGAGTTTCCACCTCTACGCTCAGAGCCCATCAACACAGCGGGTTTGGAGGCCCAGCTTTCCCTCCCCTGTAAAACCCACCTGAGCCCTGCAGCCTGGAGGCTGCCTGTGCTCCCTGCAGCCAGCACAGGGTGCCAAGGGCAGGGCAGGCAGGGCTGAAATTACTGATGATTCCCTCAAAAACGGTGCCTTACAGAACAGGCACCTCACCTGTTCTGATTCCCATCCCCTCACTGAACATGGGGCAGAGCCTTCCCAGCGCTGCCTCGGGACCCCCAGCTCTGCACAGACCCCCTGAGGATGCAGAGTTTGGCTTTGGATGGAGGTTTTCATGGACACTTCCCTATTTCTGCCAGCAGCAGCTGTTGGGGAATTCCCTGCTGTAGCAGAGTACAGAAGGAACCAGGAATTGCCCCACATGCTTTAGCCTCAAAACCCATTTCTTTTCACAACTGTAACTTCTTCCTGCCATTAAAAGCTAAGGGACAGCCTGTCCCCTCAGCTGCTGGGAGGTTTTCCATCTCCTGTGACTGATGTGACCACTGATCTCCAGCCACCCACGCTCACATACGTGCTACTGCTGTTCTGCTTAGGAAAAGTTACAAGGAATTTTCTCCATTTTCCCCAACAGAAACATGGGTTTGGGATGGAAAATATAACCTTACTCACCACCAGCCACCAATTCCAAAGCTGGTTTCCATTAATCAGTTATAATTCAACACGTACTTATAGATGTTTTCAGGGAAGTGAGAGAAGAGAGAGGCAGCACAGTAAAGGATCTTCCACGCTTTTGGGCTTTACATGCAAACAAAGCTCCTTACCTGCCAGCACAGCAGGGACCAGGATGCCACACAGTGTTAGCAGGACCAGTTGAAGGGCTCTGTGGCAGGGCATGGCTTCCCTCAGGAACAGCGTCGGCAGGAATCCTTAAAACTCTTCAAAGTACGAAACAACGTGGAAATGTCACTGCTATAATAAAAATCTTGTCCAGAAAGGTAAAAAAAAAAAATAATTCCCTTCACAACAGCAAGTGTGTAGAGAGAGTGCAAAGCCCAGCGGAGCCTCCCTCGCTCTGGCTCCAGGAGCACAGCTCCTCCCGAAGGCAGCTCCACCCTCCCAAACTTGTGCCGAAAAGCCCCGAGCAGCCCAGCCTCAGGCAGCTCACCCTGCCAGGCCAGTGCACACAGAGCAGTTGTTGGTGAGCCCTTCCCAGAGGCCACGGGGATGCTCCTGGAATGCCTTCCCTCGGCAGGAGAACAACACAGGAGCCATTGGGGCAGCTCACCCCAAACCCCGCAGCCCTGGGCTCTGAGGGCTCTGCCTCAGGGCGTGCAGGTACTTCAGGGTGGGCACAGCAAAGAACAAGGGCCTCAATCAGAGCTCAAACACTCTGATAGAGCCAGAGCAGCCCCGTGGCACCAGTGTCTGGGTGGAATACTTACAGAGCTGGACTGGGAGCCGTGGGTGGTCTTCGCTGCCCAGTAAACGCTGGGAAGTCTTGCAGGAGAGTCGGCTCTGGAGGGCAGGGCCAGCATCCTCCTGGGATCCCAAGTGCACAGACATCACTCCTGCCAGCTCTGCCATCGGCCCTGCCCGCCTGGGGGCTCGTGGGAAGGTCACAGCACAGAAAACAGGCTTGTTTCAAATCACATTTGCACCAACAGAGACTGGGGGAAGGATGAAGTGTATAAAAAGGGGAACACTCCAGTTGACTGTCACAGAAGAAATCCATTAGGATTTTTTAAACTGTTGGGGATTAAATACTTCATGTTTTCCCTTCAAGTAATGAAGTACACAAACACTCCCAATGTCAGTACTTTATGCTCTGAAAATATGACACAAGTATTTTGGGGTTAAATTTCAGATACAGATTTTTCTGCTAAGAGATCTCTCTGCTTTTTGGCTTTCTCTGACAGGCAGCCAGACACAGTTTAGGTGTCCCTTTAAATCACTGCTTGCTGCACACCTTTGCAAGAAGTGCCTGGCTGAGAGGGGAAGCAGCAAAACCAGAGAGAACAGAGTCCTGTCCCTGCAGTGAAACAAGGAGTGAGGCAGCTGCCTGGGGAATCATGCTCAAAAGAGACCTCAGACACCTCCAGCATCGAATTCAACATCATCTGTCAAACCTGGAGCAAAGCCCCAGCAGGTTCTGTCTGCAGAGGCGCTCAAAGCACGCAAATACATCCAGCAGCGGGTAAAATGCTACAGCTCTTATTTTTCCCATTCCTACTGATCCAAACAACTCCTGCTACAGAAACAGGCCCTGTGTTTGTCACAGGAGGTGACAAGGCAGTCACCTGAGCACACAATCCACACATGCCAGCACCTCCCCTTTGTACCAAACACAGAAACCAGCACATTGCAGTACCAAGAACAAGATCTTCCCCACTGGTCCATTATGGACGAACTCTGAGAGGCTGAGTGAGACCCTCAGGGTCTATTGCACATTTCCCCTGCTTGCATTTCTGCATTTTCATGTAGCAATCAAGGAGCTGCTCCTTCCCTGTCCCCCATCTGAGCTGGAAATTAATGGGTTTTTGTGTATTTGTTACATGGTAGAGAGCAGTCCAAAACTGGATTGTAGAAATTAGATCATACCATTAAAAAACAGAAAGCACTTATTAACCAGACACCTCATATGCTAAAAAAAAGATATTAAAACAAAGTCAGGTTATCAGCCTAAACACATCCTGTTCTCTCTGAGACATCAGTTAAACATCATGCAAGGCACTGTGTAATTTGGGCCTTAGCACACTTACTTTCTGTGGTCATGTGAATGGCAGGAGAACATTTATCATTACCTTTTACTGGGATTTTCCACACAAAAATAAGCAGCAAGTAGAAAAAAAAAAAAAAAAGGAAAATTAAGTCTGAAAAGGGAAACCTCCAAGGTGTCTGTGTGGACTTTAGGCTGAGGGGAGGAATCAAACCTCTCATTGACAGCAGTGAGTTGGGGTGGGTGGGGTGGTCACCGACTGCAAGGGAGTGAGAGAGAACCAGCCATGGCTTGATCTCCCCTGCACAAACAACACGGGCACGAATTCACGTGTTTCTGTACAGGGTGGGGGGGGAATTAAAGCTTTCTTGTTTCCAATCTCAACTTACTGGTGTTTATTTGAACTCTAAAATTATCAAGCAGAAAAACCCACCGGTATTCCTCACCAGGGAAAAAATAAAGCAGCAGTTGTTGTTCCACATCCTGTGTGTTTGCTTGTTGTTTCTTGATGAAAACTGATGCAAGTCGAGTTTGGGGTGAGTTTTAGCACCAGGAATTCAATCTCAAAACTCGGCTTTGACAAAAGCAAGCAGAAAGTTTTCTCTCAGATATAATACAACCAGGTTTTATTTAAGTTCTCTCTTTTCCCCCCCCACACTGGCAAAAGTTCAGAGGGAGTTTAAAGTTTTGTAAACATTTTAACTACCCCTCTTCCCCCTTTTATGAATTTACAAAGCAAAGGAGACAGGGAGACCAGATTTGCAACAGTTCCAAGTCTCTCCATGCTATTGGATCCAAAAACTATATACAAGTCTGCAGCAGTCTCTGTATAGTTACTGTACATGTTTGGGGGGCAGGGGGAAGAGAGAGGAGGAGGGGAAGGTGACCCCAAAAAATGAATAAACCAAATGAAATAAAATCCAAAGCCAAACTGCTCTTGAGCAACTCGAACTGTTTTCTTTAGGCAGTGATGACAGAACAACAGACACCTTTACACAACTCCACCAGAACTGCAGCGGATCTCCCTCGCAGGTTACAAACCCTCTGGGGACGGGAGATGGGACCAGGGGGTCAAACTAAGTGCATTTGGCAGTTCTTCTCTTTCTTTGCGGTGTGTGCATGTGGGTGGGTGGGCAGGTGGAGCAGGGAAGGTGGTGTTAATCTTTCGGTGAGAGAGGAAGGTTATGATTCCATAAACACTCAGATTATGGATCCCAGTGAAGGTGCACGAAGTAGTTTAAGGTGTAGAAGATAAGCAGGGCCGTCATTGCACAAAGCTTCATCCTCCAGTGTCTCTCCTCACGACGAAAGGGCATCTCTGCTCGTTCCCTAAGCACTGAAACGACAACCAGCTGAGCCTGCTGGGGCACGTGTCTGAGAGCCAGCGTCCACCCTCTGCAAAGACTACACAGCCACACGTCAACATCCCACTGCCTCTTAAACGAGACAAATTTGCAGGAAAAGAGCTCAAAATAAACTGGTCCTAACCCTCTGAAAGTAGCATGTAAGGGGTAAATTCGACCTGAAAGAAGAGATGCCACCCCCCTTTTTTCCCAGAGCAGAAGTCCCCACTTGTCCAGGAAGGCTGGAGCACGTCGACGGGGAACTCCAGCAGCTCCAGCATCACCACCTAATGAAGACAGACTCGAGCTTTCCCTCCAAAAATAATGTGCTGAGAAGGGCTGGCAGGGGGTGTGCAACTTCAAACCAACCCAAGCTAAACTGCGCCCGCCACCGCCCCTCTCGTGCTGTCGCCAGTTCTGCGTTAGCTTATGATGCCCCTGGCCCGGCAGAGCACCCGCCCTGGGAGCCCAGGCAGGAGCTGTGGCATTGGGGTTTGACCAACATCTGTTAACCACAAACTCTCTCTCTCTCTCTCTCCATGGGACTGCACATGTTGGATGTGGTAAGAGTAACCAGGAGAGGGAAGCAATAGTTTGCAAAATCCCAATTGATTTTTTTTTTTCCAGGTATGTCAGCAGAAGGAATCACAGCACAGTGAAAGCTCGCTGCCCAAATCAGCCTTGTTGTGAAGGAATCCTAACTCCCACCCTCCCAGGGCTCTGAGCAACGTCCACGGGACTCTGGGCTGACAGGAGGAACGATGCCTGTGCAGTCCTGGGCACAAAGGGTTTGCTGGGGCCAGAGGAAGCAGCCTGAGATGATTGATCCTGTGATTCACTGCGAGGTGAAGAACAACACACGGTGGAGAGCACTGTGTCCAAACGGAGAATCCATGGTTAACAGATGCAGGAAAAGCCAGTTGATTTGCACATGCTCAGTAGTCTTCCAAAGTCTCTATTTCTCCCATATTGAGCCGCTCTGAGGAGGCATTCACTGAAAACCCTGCAACCAAAAAGGACTGGGGTTAAACACCTGGCTGGGGGATGCTGTGTGTGGTGGGATAAGTCTGGGATGTGCAGCAGCAGTGCAAGAACCAAAGAGCATCAGAAACACCAGTGCCCATGAGGTCCTGCAACATCTTGGATGGGAGCACACTGAAGTCAATGGTACTGGGGAGTGGCTGCCAACACCCTCCTGCCACAGTCTGGGGGGCAGAAATGGACCTTCTGAGAACTTGGAATCCAAATGTGGAATCATGCCCAACACTTCAGGGGGTGTGAGCAATTCTACCCCTTACTTTAAAGTCTAAATAGGTGCATCTATGAAATCTGTGAAATGCTTTTTTACAATCCCCATCTCTGGAGTACCACATGAAAATGTAAAGGTACACAGGGCCATGCAGGTGGTTAAAATGCACTCAAATTTCTACCCAACCTTTTAGCCCTGAAGTGCTGAGGACATGATGCACGTGAGAAAAGCGTGAGAAAAAGTAAAAACACTTTCAACAAGGAAAATATCCAATATATTGTATGCAACTTTCCTACTGAAATCCCATTTTTACGGCTGCAACAACCCCATGCAGAGTATGAGAAAAGGGAAAGTGATCCTGTGTTTTTACTAAACACAAAGCTGACATTTCATTGTCTAGAGACTGCCATATAGGCTGCTCTGTGCTAGAGAACCAACTGCTTTCCACAGCCTCATCTTCAAGAGAGGAGAAAAAATGCTCTGTTCAGTAGGTTTAGGAAAATCCCTCTGGTTCCCTCTCGTGGCAGTGTGTTACCTACAAGGATTTGAAATTATTCTGTAAAAGAGTGTATTCATTTGTAAAAAGCTGCATGTGCTACTTCTCTTACAGTTGAAACTTCTAATTTGTATTTAGTGACTTCACATTACATGAGTTGGTTTTCTAATATATCCAACTGAGTCCTCAGATCAGACTCACTGGGATGGTTTAAGTCAAGACTCCACAGAAAAGTTCAGTGTTCATCAATGCAGAAATCACTGATTCAGGTGAAGAGTTTTGGTTTTGGTGAGAACAAAAGACAAAAAGGTAGGGCTCTGCCAGAGCCTTAAAAAAGCAGTGACTTCAGGTGGATAATACCAGGCTGCTTTACATAAATGTGGGCTAAGAAGGCCCAGCACAAGCACTGCTCAGTGCAGTGCCCTGGTTTCCTTCTGTCCTGCAGAGCACAAACATGGACACGTTTATTTTACAGAAACTACACCCCACAGTGCTCAGGGACTTCTTTGATGCCCTTGAATCTTAAAGAAACCTTTCCATCAGTGCTACACAGCAGCTGGTTAATACCATCCACACATAAAAATTAAGATGGAGAAGAGAATAAATGAAGGACTGCCAATGATGTCATCATCTGCCTCCAACTGAAAATCTGTGACCATTCCACCTGAGCCATCTTTTCTGCCTAGGGTGGTTAGCTCCTGTAAAAGGGTGGGAAGGCACAAAGGCAGCCTCAGGAAGCTGCTCCTCATGAAGGAACTTCATGCTTTTCTTCAAAGAATGAATTAGCATTAAATCAATAAAATAGGCATAGGTCAACTCACAAGAGGAAAGGCAGTTTAACTGACATCCCTGAACTACTTAAAGGTTTCCAGATAATAATCAAGGTATCAAGAGGCCTTTACATGAGGGAAAGTTTGACAAAAGCTTTCCATGAGTCTGTTATGGAATTTTTCAAATCATTAAATAATAATAGTACTGAAACAAATTCTGAAGACGCTTCAACTTGGCTCAAATTCAGTATTGCCACTCAAGATCAATAAGAATTCCACACTTCACAAGGCCAACTCCCACTCCCCAGCTGACCATTAATTTCTGAAGAGGAGGACTGACCTAACAAGCTGGGATCTGCCCGAACCATCTTCTGTTTCTTCTTCTTCTTCCCACCCTGCACAGCCTCAAAATTGGATTGCTGGTTGTTGCTCTGGTTGGTCTGAAAGACCGAATGTAGTGAACTGTGGTTCATCCCCCACACTGAATCCTACAAAACAAAGTCAGGACAAAACTGTAAAGCACAACTATGTTTGGTTTATTTATACAGAAAACATTCAAAGAGCCCAAAGCATCTCCTACATCCCGTGTGGCAGCAGCAGGCACTGCTGCATCCACCTCATGGTTCCACAGCATTTCCTGGGTCAACAAGCAGACACTCTTTGATCCACAGCTGGCCTCAACTGTGAGTTATGAAGGACAAGAATCTGAAATCTGCTTAATTCTCTGCATTTCACAGGACCTATAAAAGTGAAGTGCAGCAGGAATGCAGCCTCTCCAGACTCCAGGTCTCCACACACTCCTGAGGACTGCAGGGAGTGGGATTTACCTGCTGTTGCTGCTGTTGCCTCTGCTGACTGGCTTTC